GAAATCCTTCCAGCCCAAATCGAAGAAGAAGAAGATTGCTCGCAAGCCTCAGAGAAGTTGCAGCCAAGTCGAAGAAGAAGAAGATTGCTCGAAAGCCGCAGAGAAGTTACAGCCAAGTCGAAGAAGAAGAAGATTGCTCGAAAGCCGCAGAGAAGTTACAGCCAAGTCGAAGATAAGAAGAAGAGCTGCAGGCCAGACAGGCCGAAGAATTGCAGGCAGACAAGAAGAAGAATTGCAGGCCAGACAGACGCCAAGAGTTGTGGCAGAGTTACGGCAGAGTTCAGCCCCGGACGGCAGCGAGAAGAGATCACCTCGGACGACAGAGAGTTGCGGCAAGAAATCCTTCCAGCCCAAGTCGAAGACAAGAGAACTTCCAGCCCAAGCAGACGAAGAAGAAGAAGACCAGGAAAGCCGCAGAGAAGTTGCAGCCAAGTCGAAGACAAGAGAAGTTGCAGCCAAGTCGAAGACAAGAGAAGTTGCAGCCAAGTCGAAGACAAGAGAAGTTCTATCTTAGTCGACGAAGAAGAAGAAATACAACTCAAGTCGAAGAGAAGAATCAACTGCGAATGATCGATAGAAATTAGCCCCAGTGTCGAACTAAACCACACTCCGACATACACAATTCTAAAGAGTAGGCAATTCGAAATCTTTAGGTTGTGTGATAGAAGCTTGGTGCCATAGTCCACAGAGCGGGTCGGGAAATAAGAACAATTTTTCTTTATGTAACGGACATTAGATATAAAAGGTTGTCACCCTTTTTTATCAGTAATTTTTTTGTCTCGTGAGTTTTTTTTTTCTTTTGCTTGTGTTTTGCCACCCCCGTCGGACTCAGCTTGTATCGGCCCCAATCCCTGCTGGTCCCGTCTGTCTAAGATCTAAACACAGCGTGGGTAGACAGACCGGAGATCAGTACAGTTGCTTCAGTAACCAGGTATTGGAAGCGAGTTGGGAAAGGCGAGGCTGGTGATCATCCTACCAAGGGGTTGGAGCGGCACGCTTGGAACCAGGAGGAGCGACCAGGAGGAGCGACGTCACAGTTGGCGCCGTAACCAAGGGATTCGACCCTGGGCCAGGTGTGTAACCGTCACATATTACTAAGTTTATAAAAAGAAAACTATATATATAAACGCACATATATATATATACTAGCAGTAGAGCCCGGTGTTGCCCGGGGATGTAACTGTAAGAGATAGATCAAGTATCCACCATCATGAAGACCTGAAAAATAAAATTGACAAAGATTATTGTTTAAGGTTGACGGACACGCATGTCTTAATTAGTTTTTTTTTTTTTGTTTTTTGTTTTTTTTTACAAATTGGTCAAACCCAAACTCAAACAAAACATTGTTTTCAATCATTATGAGTCTACCGATTGAATAGAATTTTATTATAAACAATTGTCTTGTAAATGGAATTTTTAAAGCATTCTGAATGTAAAAATAAAGAAAAAAAAATTTAAGACAATAAGAAACACTACCTGCCAAAAAAAAAAGTGAAGTTTTGTTGAAATCGGTTGAAAAAATGTAGGAAATCCGATCCCATATATAAACGAACACACACACAAAACAATCTGGGTTTTATAATAAAATAACTCGATAACTCGATATTAATAAATATAACTCGATATGAGTTGTCCCCTTTCATTAATGCCTCTTAATCGTGTTTTCAAATTGATTTTGTGCAAAAAAATTGTTGTGTTTTTCCAATTTTGGGCGCTGTCAGAACCACCGCAAGGTAATTTTACGTAGTCCTGTGAAGTTTTGTTGAAATCGGTTGAAAAATGTAGGAAAAAATCCAATATATAAATGTACAGAAACACCCAAACCACCCACACGCACAATTTGCGTTTTTAATAATATATATATATATATATATATATATATATATATATATATATATATATATATATATATATTTTCAAAACATATAATAAAGAACTGAAAGCCAAAATATAAAATATTTGAATGAAAGCTTATTCTGTAATATACTTTGATCATTTTAATCATGAAATAATAATGCAAAATTAAATTTGAGCTCAGGTTGGTATAGTAAGCCGAAGGGTGCACATCCTACGCATGTGCCACCAAAATATTACCATGCCCTACCGGTGGGGCATGCACCCCACGTTGGGAATCATTGATATAAATGCTTACCTCACAATCCCAACAGTTATTTTTTACACACTTATCAAATACGTTCCATAATCTATAAAAGATAGGTATACATCCATTTACATTTGTATTGCTCTTCCTGATAACATTCTAAGTATGAATATTACATTCCTTGTTCCAGTGTTTTTAACGAAACCGTATTGTCTTTGTCCTATTTCCGGTCTGATTCCGCTGCGCGCTCTATTCATCGGAATTCGAATAAGTTTTGTTATATAGTTCATTAGGCTGACTGTTCGGTGGAGTTCACATTTGTTTGCACTTGGCTTCTTAAACAGTGCTATGAAAATGGATCTACTTAGGGCTTCCGGTATATCACCACTGTTGTATATTTCATTTATTATATCGGTAATTCTGTCAATGCCGTAATCATCTGAGGCTGCCAGCATCGCTATTACAATTCCGTCTGGCCCTGCTGCGCTCTGTTTCTCTTCAATTTTGCCAGAGCTGATTTTACCCCAGATTTTAGCGTTTCTGGTCCTGTGATATTTCTGTGTGTTGCGGGTTTTAAATTTTCGTTGTGGAATCGTCCTCATAACCATTTAGCGATTGTTCTCAATTTGTAAATAATTTTTAAAAATCATATTCTGCGGAACATTTATGTTGCACCAGAAAGCGGTCATCATTTGTGACAGCAATCCCTGTTTTATAAAAGTCTCATTAAAAACTACTGACAAGCTACAGCAATTAAGCTTTTTATTAAATTTTTCTTGCGTTCGTATAAATTATTACTTTTCTGGACATATATTGTGTAAAACCTGTCTGAATGTTCTATATATCCGAGCACTTTCGGATATTCTATTAGCCTACATTATTTGGACTGTTATCCTCATCTTCATTACCTCAATATCTCAGTTATTTCCCTTTTAACTTACCTCTCCAAGTTTTGGTTTAGCACTGCTGTGGCCTGATATTGAACTCACAACTCTCTGGATCTAGTCTCTGGATCCAACCAACGTCTTTATCCACTGGGCCATGTGACCTCAAGGACACCCGGAAGGGGCATGGCACATGCAACTAGAACAATCTACCCCGATGGACGAAATAAATGGGTCGGTTCGAAATTCCAATCACGTGAAGAAGACCGGAGTGTACAACGCCCGAAACGTTGTGAATAAGACAATGAAGATGAGAATAACAGTCCGAATAATGTAAGTAATCATAATACCTCATTTCAGAGATCCAATCACCTGACGAAGGCCAGAGCGTACAACGGCCGAAACGCTGTGAATATGGCAATGAAGATGAGAATGACAGTCCGAATAATGTACATAATGTAAGTAATCATAATACCTCATCTCAGAGATCCAATCATCTGATGAAGGCCGGTGAATACAACGGCCGAAACGTTGTAAATATGGCAATGAAGATGAGGATAACAGTCCGAATTATGTAAATAATGTAAGTAATCATAATACCTCATCTCAGAGATCCAATCACCTGAAGAAGGCCGGAGCGTATAACGGCCGAAACGTTAAATATGGCAATGAAAATTTTTAACAGTCCGAGGAATGTAAATAATGCAAGTAATCATAATACCTCATCTCAGAGATCCAATCACCTGACGAAGGCCAGAGCGTACAACGGCCGAAACGGTGTGAATATAGCAATGAAGATGAGGATAACAGTCCGAATAATGTAAATAATGCAAGTAATCATAATACCTCATCTCGGAGATATAGACAGATAGTCTATTAGCCATTACCAAGGATGTAAGTTTTTTAACTGAATGTATAGTTTTTTTATATGTTTCTAGAGTGATGGGAATGTCTTTTTTACAAACACGGCCAGCACATTGTGGCCATCTTCATAGTTAATTTAACTGAGTGTTGGCTTTTTCTTTTTTATTATTAGTGCTTCCTTATTACTGCTCCTTCTTAGACTCACGTTTTCAACTGACTTGAAGAGGAGCGAATACATCGAATCAATAGCTGCATCTATTGCAAGGAAAGTTGGCTCACTGTGTCATGCCAGAAATTTTTTCCTCGTCAGAATCCATCTTGTACATTTACAAATCTGCCATTCGTCCGTGCATTGAATACTGTTGCCATATCTGGTCTGGTGCTGCTGTTATTCATCTCGAGGTTCTTGAAAAAATCCAAAGAAGGACCTGCAATGTAATCGATCCTGACTTGGAATCTCGACTTCAGTCACTTTCTCACCCACGTGACGTGGCTCCCCTCTGTCTTTTCTACAAATATTTTCATGGCAACTGCTCTGACAAACTTTTTTCTCTGGTGCCTCGACTACATAAATTTAAATGTGCTACTAGATTGGCAATTAGGTCCCACCGTTTTTACTGTTGAAATAGTTAAATGTAACCAACACTTTTTTTCTCGCACTTCACGCCTGTGGAAATTCCTCCCGTTTACTTGCTTCCTTGATAACTATAATTTTCAAAAATTTAAATGCAACGTCAATCGCCATCTTCTATCTTCTTGAACCCCGTTCAGCTTTCATCCTTTTCCCAGCCCCATCTATACCCAGTTTTTTTTGTTTCCCCTTCATTCTCTGTAACCCCTTGCGTACTAGTGACATTCCCGCCTTGCTTGGGGTGAAATGATTTACTCCCAAGCAATGTGATAATGCCACAAAGACGCAAGGAACTGATGAGAATGAAAGAAAATTTCCTAGATAATAAAATTTCTATACTTGTTTTGGATGTCACCAATTTCTCGCACTTATCTTGGATTGCCCCTCTTGCTAAAGAGATTATGTCTTCTTACAGTTGATAGTTAGTCCTTTCTTCTCGCTTTCCTCTATGAGTGCCTGCAATTTTCTTTCTTCTGGGTCTGTCATCAACGCAGTATCATCACTGTATGTTATCGGTTTACGGTCTTATTAAGTTGAAATACTGGTTCCTATCACCGAAGTTAAGCAACGTCGAGACTGGTCAGTATTTAGATGGGTGACCGTATGGGAACAACCGGTGTTGTAAGGTTGGATGTGCGAATAGCGTAATGGATATATTCACTTACGCACAAATACCTCTTCTCCCCCATCTAAGACTTGTATCAATAAATCATTATAATCTTTTAAAAAAAATCAATGTAAAAAATATTTTCTGGCTTTAAATAACCTGCAAAGGACCAATCAATCAATCAATAAAATATTGATGTCATGTCTTTTAGATTTATTTACATTCTCTGGAATATAAATGTATAGAAAATACAGTGGCCACAAAGTGAAGGTTCCGTTTATGTAGTGATTGTAATATAGAATTGATCCCCCACTTTATGTCCACATAATTTCTCGGTTGTTGATAAGCTGTAGAAAACAAATCAATCAATCAAACAATGAAATACTGATTAGCTACACAGGCATGTCTTTTAGATTTATTTACATTCTCTGGAATATAAATATATAGTACCTACGTAGGCCACAATGTGAGGGATCAGTTTATATATTGATTGTAATGTAGAATTGATCCCTCACTTTATATCTGCATTATAATTTCTTGATTGATTATCAAATTATGATTTGGTATGAATCCGCCTCTTCTTCCCCCAACTATGGGTTAATTAGTGAGACTAATCACTAAATCATTATTATCTCCAAAACAAATTCTGACTATCTAAAAATATTTTCTGCCTTTAAGTAAGCTGCAAAGGGTTGATAAGCCGTAACAAACGAATATTTTTACAACATATTCGTAAATGTTTGGATGTACACAAGGTCTGATGAAAAATTATAGCGACTGCTGCCATGGCAACGGAGCTAAAGCATGTAGAGTTAATCCGTTTGTCATAGATGATCCTCGTACTTTGTCGTGCATGTACACTAAGTTATAACGTTCTCTCTCCCTTCCGTTGTTTATAGCAGTGTTTGGAAGGAAAGTGTGTAGAGTGTGGCCGTCTCATCACAGCAGAGAGGTTCCATCAGTGACCATTGCTTGTACATCAGTTTCTTTGACCAAGCACAAACTTCTCCGGGGTCTACAATCACCATATTCCCCAGATCCCACCTCTTGCGACATTTTCCCCTTCAAAAATCAAATCCCACTCCAAAGGAACAAGATTTCAAGAGATCGATGACATCAAGGCGAATACGACGAGGCAACTTCTCGCTATCTCAAAAAAGATTTCCAGGAATATTTCAATTAATGGAAATACTTCAATTAATGGATAAAGGATGTGACCTCAGAAGGAGACTACTTCGAAGGAGATTAAATACTGAATTTATACGTCTTGTAGTTTTATTTTTATAGAAATAACTTTTTGATCAGACCTCGTATTTTTATAGTAAATTGTCTCATGGTGATTCTCAAAGCGTAGCTTAGACGTGGCACAAGGCCTAAAATATGAGGCACCCAGTGAGAATCAAACGCCACGTCGATGTGCTCTTTATGATTTGAAATATTTGTAGCAATGAATATGCGCCTGTGTGACAACGGAGAAAACCAAGTGTTATCCTGTACAAGGTCCAAGAGCCACTCAAGGTAGAGGGTTACAGAGTACAAGACACAATCCATGCAGATATGTGGGGAAGATAACGGTTAACCCTAGACTTGAAGAGGTTAAGATTGTAGTGATCGGGGAAGTATCCTCTTGGGAGTCGGATCCACAAAGCAGATAGAGGGTTACAGAGTAAGAGGCACAGTTTATGCGGATAGGTGAGGAAGATAACGATTGACCCTAGACTTGAACAGGTTAAGATTGTAGTAATCGCGGAAGAATCCTCTTGGGAGTCAGTTCCACAAAGCAGGTAGTGGGTTACAGAGTAATAGGCACAGTTTATGTGGATATGTGTGGAAGATAACGGTTGACCCTAGACTTGAACAGGTTAAGATTGTAGTGATCGGGGAAGCATCCTCTTGGTAGTCAGTTCCACAAAGCAGGTAGAGGGTTACAGAGTAATAGGCACAGTTTATGCGAATATGTGTGGAAGATAACAGTTGACCGTAGACTTGAACAGGTTAAGATTGTAATGATCGGGGAAGCATCCTCTTGGGAGTCAGTTCCACAAAGCAGGTAGAGGGTAACAGAGTAATAGGCACAGTTTATGTGGATATGTGTGGATGATAACGGTTGACCCTAGACTTGAACAGGTTGAGATTGTGGTGATCGGGGAAGCATCCTCTTGGGAGTCAGTTCCACAAAGCAGGTAGAGGGTTACAGCGTAATAGGCACAGTTTATGTGGATATGTGTGGAAGATAACGGTTGACCCTAGACTTGAACAGGTTAAGATTGTGGTGATCGGGGAAGCATCCTCTTGGGAGTAGGTTCCACAAAGCAGGTAGAGGGTTAAAGAGTAAAAGGCACAGTTTATGCGGATAGGTGGGTAAGATAATGGTTGACCCTAGACTTGAACAGGTTAAGATTGTGGTGATCGGGGAAGCATCCACTTGGGAGTCAGTTCCACAGAGCAGTGGTTCGGGGGATGAAGCTTTTCCAGTGAACTGACATCTCACCAATGGAATATGAAGGGAATGAAGGTGGTTCGCTACAATGTGCGTGACATGGCGGACCTTAGCTGTGATGGTTAAAGCTGGTGTAGATCTTCTGAACACTTTCCATGGAAATAGCGATAGATGAGCGTGAGGCTAGCGACGTTTCGTCTATGAGGAAGGGGTGGAAAATAATTTGTCACCCCCAAGGGCGCGAAGACTGAAAAGGGGAGACTGTGGAGCTTTTGCGAAATATACATATCAGCACCAATCCATTTTCGGTCTGAGATGACCCTTGTAAAAATAGAGGTTAAGCAGGTTTCCTTACCAACCTCGACCAATTATAAGCTTTCTTACCGATCAGACCATAGGATGTCTTGTCCCATCTTGGGAGAAGAGGTAGTTGGGATGTGGATTTTTGACCCTTTTAATGGACGCTCCTGGCATTTTCTGACTTTGGATTTGTGAGCCCTTGGAATTACGACCTCGGACTTATGATCTTTTGGAACTGAACTTCTGTTATAGTGGAACACACCTATTCTGTAGTTAATAGACTCTCCCACTTATAATAAGTAGGAGTAGTAAGAGTAACGTGGAAGTAAGTCAGTCAGTCAGTGAGTCGATGTCGGACGACAGTTAGTCGGATACTAAAGTATCAGCGACCACAACTAGATTACTCTGCGTTATACCTATTATACCAAGTTCCTAACGTTTTGTACGTCGAACCTATTTTAGGACCGACTTAGTACAAAATACAAGCCTCCACTGTGAAATCACAGTTCCATAACAACTTCACTATTGCTGTTTACCACGGTCGGAAATATAGAAAATTCAGCCATTTTAGAAAAAAAAAAGAAAAGAAAACATCAACTTTTGGGTGGACGAAGAGAAAATGAACAAAAATAGTGGGTGATCGCAAATTTTGTTGGGTGATATCGGATTTTGAGTATTAAAAAGATATTTCAACATATGCTATACAAAAAAAACAATATTCTAACGAGATATGAAAAAACTTTTTAAAAAATCAGGAAGCTAAATGCAAATTACTGGATCACATATCTCGAAATATTTGGGAAGTTTCTTTATAGTTTTAAATGGTCAAGTTTGCTTTCATTTGTTCTTTAATATGGTAGTAGCAGCAGCCGCATAAGTCAGCATTATTTATTACCTGCTATTGACATTGTTTGATTATATCATAAAGTAAGCATACGAACCAATAACAAACTTTCACCAAACAATTTTGGTATGCTTTTGAATATTTACTATACAGGTGGGCGGTGAAAAATTTTTCTATGTGAAAGTGGCCGATGGCGTAAAAAAGGTTGGGATCTACTGGTGTAGTCAGGCTCACATATTTGAGTTGATTGACTGTGACCTGTTGCAAAATATCACTTTTATTTGTTTTCTCGTGAGACATAATTTTGAATTTGCTCTGACAAGAAGTTGCATGTATTTATCGCTTCGTAATGTCATCCTCGTGTCCCGTTTTATGAGTTTATCGATCTGTAATGCCTTCTTCGGGTCCTGTGTATGAACTGATTGTTTTGCGATGTGTTTATGCCTTGACATAAGAATTTATTGTTTTGCCGTGTATTCTTCGTGTCCCAGCGCATAAGTTTATCGTTCATTTTTCTTTAGTGTCCTAGTATACGGCTTTGTCACATCTTCTTCGTGTCCCATTATAGACATTTATCGTTTTGTCATGTCTTCTTCGTGTCCTGGCTTATAAATCGATTACTTTTTTTTATATCTTCTTCGTTTCCCGGCGTATAAATTTATCACCTTGTCATGTCTTTTTCGTGTCTCAGCATATAAATTTGTCGCTTTGGCATGTCTTTTTCGAATCCCAGCATATAAATTTATGGCTTTTTCATATCTTCTTCGTGTCCAAGCATATAAAATTATCACTTTGTCATGTCTTCTTCGTTTCCCGGCGTATAAATTTATCTTCTTCATGTCCCAGTATATAAATTTATCGCTATGTTATGTCTACTTCGTGTCCCAGCATATAAATTTATCGCTTTATCATGTCTACTTCGGGTCCCAGTATATAAATTTATCACTTTGTCATGTATTCTTCGTTTCCCAGCTTATAAATTTATCCCTTTATCATGTCTACTTCGGGTCCCAGTATATAAATTTATCGCTTTATCATGTCTACTTCGGGTCCCGGTATATACATTTATGGCTTTGTCATGTCTTCTTCGTTTCCCGGCGTATAAATTTATCTTCTTCATGTCCCAGGATATAAATTTATCGCTATGTCATGTCTACTTCGTGTCCCAGCATATAAATTTATCGCTTTGTCTTGTCTTTTTCATGTCTTAGCATATAAATTTATTTTATTTTATTTTATTTATAAGCATTCAACTCCAAGCAAGGCGGGAAGCCACTAGCACGCAAGGGGGTTACAGAGGATTTGGAGCGAGAGCAAATAGGAATGATAAAGGAAAGGATGAGGAGAAAGATAGGGGATAGATTAGGGCATCTGGAGATGTCGATTGACGTTACATTTGAATAGTTGGAGATTATAGCTATCAGTAAAACAAGA